CACTGCCATTTGTCTCCCAGGTCTGTCGCTGCTGCTGACCGCCCTTTTCCGCTGGCCATGTAGCATTTCTTTTCATTTGTCTCCCAGGTCTGTCACTGGTGTTGTCCGCCCTTTTCCGTTGGACACGCGGCTTTTTTATTCATGTGTCTCCCAGGTCTGTCGCTGCTGGTGTCCGCCCTTTTCCGTTGGCCATGTAGCATATCTATTCATTTGTCTCCCAGGTCTGTCGCTGCTGGTGTCCGCCCTTTTCCGCTGGCCATGTAGCATTTCTATTCATTTGTCTCCCAGGTCTGTCACTACTGGTGTCCGCCCTTTTCTGCTGGACATGTAGCATTTCTATTCATTTGTCTCCCAGGTCTGTCGCCGCTGGTGACCGCCCTTTTCCGCTGGCCATGTAGCATTTCTATTCATTTGTCTCCCAGGTCTGTCACTACTGGTGTCCGCTCTTGTCCGTTGACTATGCAGCATTTCTATTCATTTGTTTCCCAGGTCTGTCACTGGTGGTGTCCGCCCTTTTCTGGTGGCCATGTAGCATTTCTATTCATTTGTCTCCCAGGTCTGTCACTGCTGGTGTCCGCCCTTTTCCGTTGGCCATGTAGCATTTCTATTCATTTGTCTCCCAGGCGTGTCGCTGCTGGTGTCCGCCTTTTCCGCTGGCCATGTAGCATTTCTATTCATTTGTCTCCCAAGTCTGACACTGGTGTCCGCCCTTTTCTCCTGGCGATGCAGTCACTGGTGGTGTCCGCCCTTTTCCGCTGGCCATGTAGCACTTCTATTCATTTGTCTCCCAGGTCTGTGTAGCATTTCTATTCATTTGTCTCCCAGGTCTGTCACTGCTGGTGTCCGCCCTTTTCCGTTGGCCACACAGCTTTTTTATGCATGTGTCTCCCAGGTCTGTCACTGCTGGTGTCCGCCCTTTTCCGCTGGCCATGTAGCATTCTATTCATTTGTCTCCCAGGTCTGTCACTGCTGGTGTCCGCCCTTTTCCGTTGACTATGCAGCATTTCTATTCATTTGTCTCCCAGGTCTGTCCATGTAGCGTTTCTATTCATGTCTCCCAGGTCTGTCGCTGCTGGTGTCCGGCCTATTCCGTTGGCCATGTAGCATTTCTATTCATTTGTCTCCCAGGTCTGTCACTGCTGGTGTCCACCGTCTTCCGTTGGCCATGTAGCATTTCTATTCATTTGTTTCCCAGGTCTGTCGCTGCTGGTGACCGCCCTTTTCCGCTGGCCATGTAGCATTTCTATTCATTTGTCTCCCAGGTCTGTAACTGGTGTCCGCCCTTTTCCGTTGGGCATGTAGCATTTCTATTCATTTGTCTCCCAGGTCTGTCGCTGCTCGTCTCCGCCCTTTTCCGCTGGCGATGCAACATTTCTATTCATTTGTCTCCCAGGTCTGTCACTGTTCGCTGGCCATGTAGCATTTCTATTCATTTGTCTCCCAGGTTTGTCACTGCTGGTGTCCGCCCTTTTCCGTTGGCCATGTAGCATATCTATTCATTTGTCTCCCAGGTCTGTCGCTGCTGGTGTCCGCACTTTTCTGCTGGCCATGTAGCATTTCTATTCATTTGTCTCCCAGGTCTGTCGCCGCTGGTGACCGCCCTTTCCGCTGGCCATGTAGCATTTCTATTCATTTGTCTCCCAGGTCTGTCCCTGCTGGTGTCCGCCCTTTTCCGCTGGCCATGTAGCATTTCTATTCATTTGTCTCCCAGGTCTG